ATAGTGCGGCAATCGATGCTACAAGTAGGTACAAGTAGGTACCAGGGTTGTATACCAATCAAGTCGATTGAATTGATTGATTTGTTTCAACGCGTATTTTGAGTTGGTTGGATTGAGTCGATTGACTTTTCGAGATGACTGGTTGACTGACTCGTTTGACTTAAGCGACTGGTTGACTGATTTGATTCCCGAAAACTAGAGTGACTCGTATGATTGAGTCGATTGAATGGAAAGTTCAAATAAGTTTTAGTTGACGAAAAATAATGACACCATTTGATGACATCAAAGATCACAGAACTACACTGAAAACTGTTTGTCATCACAACTGCAATATGGGGTAGATGGCCAAATAAAGAACAGGGCCTAAACATGAACAGCCAACTTTGACTTTCAACTGCAATAACTGCTCCAATCCTGGTGATAGAACCTGGCGATGCACCTACCTACCTTTCTGCGCTCAGCAGGAAACGTTTTATTAATCCAGATGATAAAGTGCAAGGCCCCATATACTAATTACGTGTTATTAATTAATAATTCACATCTCCACATCTCCTCAGAAACAACCCACTGAACTCTATAAATATCTGAAACCCCTACAAAAATAACTGAAACAAAAGCGCCGTTTTGGTCTCGCTAATTACGTTTACGTACCTAATTAATAGCTAATTTGCTGCATTGTTTAATTTGCAGCAGAACGTTTGTTGATCCTTTTCTCCCGAGAGCCTAAGCATGACATATTTAATATATTTCATTTTCCTTAAAATATTTTACCGAATTTTATTAAGTGGTTTTATTTGAAATGAAATAATAATTAAAACGAAATTGGTGTTGTACAACCGATTTATTACGGAGCGAGCGAAGCGAGCGGAGTCTTACGTAGAATAACGGAAATTTCTGAGTATTAGCGGCCGGCCGGCCGGCCGGCCGTGGTCACGATTCTGCGACGCTTTATCTCAGCAACCACTTGACCGATTTACATGCGGTAATTTTTGTAGGGTAGCTTCATGCCTTCTACCAAGTATTGGACTATTCCTGATGCATGTGGGTGATGCCTAATGCACGTGCCACGTGCAAAACGAAGAGGTGTCCGTTTTGTAATTGTTGCAATATCTCGGTAACTACTTGGCCGATTGCGCTGAAAGTTGGCATGTAGGTAGGCAGTAGGCACCCACTAGGCACTGCATATCCATGTGCCAGAGTTGGGGTGCTTCTGCACGTGCGCACGTGCAGGGGTCGTTTCCAGATCTCGAGAACGGCTCAACCGATTGCGCTCAAATTTGGTACACAGTTAGGGACCGGTTAGTAGGGTGCCGTGCACAAGTCAGTTGGGACCCATTTTGCACGTGCGCACGTGCAGGGTGCCGCTTCCAGATCTCGAGAACGGCTGGGCCGATTGTGCCCAAATTTGGCACGTCGCTAGAGACCGGTTAGTAGTGTGCCGTGCACAAGTCAGTTGGAGGTACCCCCTCGCAATTTCGCACGTGCAAGGCCCACCCTCTCGCTCGCTCCGTTAGTCGCCCCAAAAGGCGTTATACTGGTTTTATGATGATCTACCATACTACATGATAATCAATGACGTCATCTTACCAAAAAATCAAAAGACGTAGAATAAGGATTTATAAAAGCTTAGCATACTTATTGGCAAAACGTTTTCTTTGCTTCGCAGTCGCACCGTGCCGTTTTCGCGTTTTAATTTTCCTTGTTCCTACTTCCTTTGTCCCTAACTTATCCTGTGGTTCCAGAGTCCTCTCCATTTCCTTTTAAATATATTTTTAATCCTCATCCCTATCCCCCAGTCCTAACAGTTTCAAATTGTATTGCAATAAAATGTTTTGAATTCTTCTCATCGGTACCTAACATTGACATGCCACGTCCAGAGTCGTGGACTGCTAAATACTTCAAATCTCTTCCTTCCCAATCTGACAACATCCCACGTCTCAAATGCACATTGTGTGGAAAGATTTTTCATGCTGCCCGTCAGTCTCTGTCTAACCGAAACCGTGACATGCAGGTAAGATATTTATTTCTATTTCCCTATGGTTAATATGTTATTGATGCATATTATCCATTAAAATAGACATGGTGTAGGGTAAATGGCCAAATTACTAACACTGCCAAAATCCGAGCAGCCAACTTTCAACTGCAATATCTGATATTAGTGTAAATGGAGTTGGAATATGGCCAAAATTAAATTGACAACTTTTAGGTGAAAGGTGGTGATTTGGGTTAAGGGGCGAGTCAACTACTGGGTTATTTTGCACCCATTAAATGAAACTTCTGCTCCAATTCTACCCATTGAACCTCAATATCATGATCCACCTGTCCATCACTAGGTATCCTTCCTTTTCACATAGGTAGAAACTTTGAATGGCATGACAATTTATAATTTTAAATGACAATATTTTTATGTTTCTTCTGTAGGTAGGTAGGTAGGTAGGTAGGTAGGTAGGTACACCAGAGTGCTATGGACACTTTTCCAAGTTGGTGGGGCAAAAAACCTAATGTATGTCTTGGTTTGAGTCGTTTGATTGAGTTGATTGATTCCTTTCATTGCCGCATTTGAGTCGATTGAATCAATTCCCGAAAACTGCTCTGACTTGATTGATTTGATTGGTTTCCCAAATTTGTCGTGATTGAATTGATTGCTATTGATTGAGTCGTATACAACCCTTAGGTACTCTGTAGCTCGTGCCGCGCAGGTAGCTGAGTCCATGGTGGCAGACTATTTCGCGGGCATGTCCTCACTGCAGCTGAGGCTGCAGCGTCGTGCACAACCAGCACAACGGTGGGCCTGTCCGGAGGTCCCTTGTCCACTTCCACCGATTGGCAGGTATAGATATCATACGGTGCGCCCTCATCGGCATTGCGCATAATCCTAGCAGCGCAGAGGGTAGGAAGGAAGCTCGATAAACGGAACGGCCAAATGACCGTCACAAATCAGCTCACTTATTTCCATCGAGTTCAAAGCGAGCCGCTTCCGATGCCTCCACTTTCAAAGCTGTACGTTCTGCGCCGGCCTATCTGCAGTTTGTGCGATAGGTATGTACGCCGGTGAACCACGCGGGTGCACTGTGGTGTGTCGGGAGAGCGCGGCGCGGCGGCGGCATCATTTCTCGGCGGCACCGGATCACACTGGCCCCGCACCAGAGTAAATGGGCGCCGTTTGCCCAGTGGTACCCAACCATAAAAAGCTGGCCGCCGCAGTAAACAACAGCGCGCTGCAGCCGCCGAAAACAGCGCCACTACCTGCTGTGAGTTGTGGTCGGCCGCGGGACGGGCCGGCGGCAAACAGCTCTGCAGCGCCGTGTCCCGGGCAGCGCGGTATCGCACACCACACCAGTGCAGCACCGGCGCGGCGATCACGGCGGCGCCCCCATCGGCATGGCGCAGCCGGCCACCGCGCGGCACGGCAGCTGACCTGACCCAGCCCAGGGAGACCCCGCGGCCGTCCAAAGTGCCGGGGGGCGTCAGAGATTCAGCACTCGACAGAGTGGCGGCGAGATCGCACGCTGGCAACCAACTGTAAGGATCGCGTGCGATGACAAAGGAACGCAATTATCAGCTCACTGAAAAAGAAAACACATGGATTAGGGGAACGCAGGAAATGCACCGTTGAAATAGGAATATCTGATGGGCTAAAAGGCGGGCCAACTTTCAACAAAGAAAAACGCTATGCCTATGGCCGCTATGCCCCGATCCGGGATCCGGGATCCGCATATCGCACATATTCTACGCCAAACAAAGAATGATATAGGTATACCTATGTACTTATTGTCCATATTGTGCGCCAAACATAGATAAGTAGGTAGTGGTACCTTCAATATTGGGCGGCGGGCGCAAAACATAATAACCAGCTACATACAGCACAATATAGTTATACATCGCTATTATTGGCATCGTGCTCCTGCAGCTCGGGGCAGGAACGTGAATCTGTTAGTCTCGTTAGTAATGGGTAGGTTCTGCTCTGAGGAGAATTCAGCGCAGGCAGGGCTGTGCCGGCGGCGCACTGTGCGCCCCATCTGCTGCCGTGCCGCCGCGCAACGGAGCCACCTCGCGATGCATACTGCGCCCTCCTGTTCTCTGAGGGTGCTGGCAAAGGGACGATGACGCAGCCTATCATGGTCAATCACCTACACACTGCCGGCTCATGGTCAGCCAGTCACCTATACACTGACAGCTCATGGTCAGTCACCTACACACTGACGGCTCATGGTCAGACAGTCACCTACACACTGACGGCTCATGGTCCGGTCAGACAGTTACCTACACACTGACGGCTCATGGTACGGTCAGTCAGGGTCACGGCAGCACAGTGAATGATGCTGTTCGAACTGGTCAGGATCGGACAGGACAGCGCAGCGACGGCTGACGGTTTGACCAGACAGGGCAGCGCAGCGACGGCTGACGATCTGACCAGACAGTGCAGCGCAGCGACGGCTGACTGACCAGACAGTGCAGCGCAGCGACGGCTGACTGACCAGACAGTGCAGCGCAGCGACGGCTGACTGACCAGACAGTGCAGCGCAGCGACGGCTGACTGACCAGACAGTGCAGCGCAGCGACGGCTGACTGACCAGACAGTGCAGCGCAGCGACGGCCGACGATCTGACCAGACAGGACAGCGCAGCGACGGCTGACTGACCAGACAGGGCAGCGTTAGCACAGTAATGGCTGTGGAGGTGTGTCCACTGGGCGGATAGGCCACAGGTACAGCGGCTTCGGCAGGTCCTTCGGTTACCGTGCCGGTACAATGCACACCGCTTTCATCCCACGGCGACACCGCCGTACCCCGTAGTCTCTCAGTACATACATCCTACTGCACAGATAACAGTTATCTACTATTCTATAACAATTCAACTGGAACAACTGTTCTATACTATAAGAGTTCGTTCTTCAGTTATCTGTGCCTGTTGCGATACCCGGCAGCCCGCCTGTTCCGCGGCGGCTGTTGATCCAAACGGCCGCCGCGGCGCCGTCAGCCCACTGGGAAAAACAACACGGACCGTCGAACGGTGTATTTATCAAAAGGTGAGCCAAAATGGCCCCAGTGGAGACTGCCCTCGGCACGGCGCGCGGCCAGCTCAGCGACGGTGCGGCGCCGGCACACGCCGACTGAGTGACGGCGCGGAGCACAGCACGGGCAGAGCACACCCCCGCAGTGCGCGGCACGGGATGGAGCACACACCCGCAGAGCGGCACGGGATGGAGCACACCCCGCAGTGCGCCGCACGGGATGGAGCACACACCCGCAGAGCGGCACGGGGCGGAGCACACGCCCGCAGTGCGGAACGGGATGGAGCACACACCCGCAGAGCGGCACGGGATGGAGCACACACCCGCAGTGCGCGGCACCTAACGCCTGACGCAGAGAGGCGAGACGGTGTCCACGGAGGCGGCACCACGAGCTGCAGTGATACCGGTCGGAGCCCAGCCGCCGGCGCCTCCCAGGCCGCCCTGCGCGACGGCGGCAGCGCGTCAGGGGACCACCGGCCACGGTCAGTGGCCGGCCCCGCGCCGCGGTCATAGACAGACGGCCGAGACCGGCTCGGTGGCGGGGCTGGCTGTCACTCGGCTCATCGGAGTCCGGCGCCGGTATCGGTCGGCTCCAACAGAGCGCCATTGTCGGGGCGCCGATAATAAATCGCACTATCACCGTCACACAATGACGCTTTGTTCCGTTTGTGTTCCTGGAGATGCCACCGGTCGATGAGACTGCATTGTATTCGGAGATCGCATCACTTCGAGTCCCTCCTCCCACTCGGTGCACGTAATAACACACACGCCAGTCACCTGTAAAAATGCAGTGACGATGGCTGGACCGTCCCACGGCAATGGTCGGTGCCTGCTGTACCGGGCGCTACTGGTTACAGCCGGGCCGGCCCCTTGGTGGCAGCCCGCTCGGACCGGCGGACCGCAGCGGCCGCGGCACCGGGCGTCTGCCCGCGTCCCAGGCCGCGCACCGGGCTCGCCTGGCGGTCACAGCGGCGCCCCGTGTGGTAGAGCCTGTCACTGGGTGTCTGGGGTCAGCCTCCGGGGGCCGCCTAAGGCCGCAGACTGCCCAGAGCGTTCTCCAGCGTCTTTCTGGCGCGGCAGACGCGCTCCTCCTGCTGCCGTACGTCCTCTTCGGTGATACAGATACTCTGGGGAGGACGGGAGGACGGGGGTGTCAGAGCAGACCGGTGATACAGATACCCTGGGGAGGACGGGAGTGTCAGAGCAGACCGGTGATACAGATACTCTGGGGAGGACGGAGGAGGGTCAGAGCAGACCGATGATACAGATACTCTGGGGAGGACGGGGGTGTCAGAGCAGACCGGTGGTACAGATACCCTGGAGAGTGGAGAGGACGGGGGGTGTCAGAGCAGTCCGGTGATACAGATACCCTGGGGAGGACGGCCGACGGGGGAGGGTCAGAGCAGACCGAGGATACAGATACTCTGGGGAGGACGGATGTGTCAGAGCATACCAGTGATACAGATACCCTGGGGAGGACGGGAGGACAGGAGTATCAGAGCAGACCGGTGATACAGATACCCTGGGGAGGTCGGGGGATGGTCAGAGTATACCGGCCCGGCGGCGTGACCGTACAGGGACCCGTGACCCACCGGTACCCACAAAACACTGCCGGGGCTGACCCGCCTTCAGGACCAGGGCATCTGCGGCAGGGGCCCCGCTAGAGACCAGCCCCGGGCCCAGAGCTCCGGCTGACCCCATCAACACTACCTACAGATGCACCTCCCTGTCAGACCTGGCAGAGGAGCCCAGCAGGTGCCCGGGCCCCGGCTGGCCCAGCAGCTGACCGTACCTGCACCAGCGGCTGCTGCGGGTTCATGAAGACGCCCGGGTTTTTCTCCAGCATCTGCCGGCCGGCCGCCTGGCCCGTGATGGGCGTGTTGCCAGAGTGCAGCGCGGTGGCCAGCGACTGCAGCGCCACCTGGGAAAACCAGAGGCGACGTCAGCGCCACCCGACAGACGACCCAGAACTGCGCGGTGTTGACACCGGTCGCTCGTATCGCTGAGATACGAACTGAGAAGGACAAAATAGGTACACAAATGTTCGTACGTAAAAATACCTAAGCAATTCAGCATGACGACCAACAGTTCCTCCGAGCCAAGCGTGACCTGACCTAGCCTGACCCAACCAAACCAAACCTAACCCAACGTGGTACTCTGGACGTACATCTGGTGTCCCTACGTACTTATACCCAAGGCGATGATTTGTGATGCGTACTTTTGTCCTACATATATCTGCTGACGTACATTTGCTATATGAGCATTTGCGATGCGTACTTTTGTCTTCAAATCTTTTGTCGGTAACCGACACCGACGATCCAAACTCTGTTCAGTCCGGCACCTAAGCCGCAGGCAGCTGATGTGAGGCACCGCGGACCAGCACCACCGGCCCCGGGCCGAGCTGGCCGCCTCCGCCGGTCCCCGTTCACCCCGCCAACTGCCGTCGGCACAGAGGGGCGGCACTCACAGCGTCGTCGGTGCTGGGTCCGACGTGGCGCAGGGCGCGTGGCAGCTGCACACCGATCAGCTGCTGCTCCGAGATGTCGCACGCGCGCAGACCCTGCAGACTCTTCTCCCAAAACAGCTGCCGGCCGCAGCGGGGTAAGGGAGGGGTCAGACACCACAGCAGACACGGGTATCACACAGCAGACACGGGTCACACACAGCAGACACGGACCACACAGCAGACACGGGCCACAGCGGACACGGGTCACAGCGGACACGGGTCACAGCCACAGCAGACACGGGTCACACACAGCAGACACGGGTCACACACAGCAGACACGGGTCACAGCAGACGCGGGTCACAGCCACAGACACGGGTCACACAAAGCAGACACGGGTCACACACAGCAGACACGGGTCACAGCAGACACGGGTCACACACAGCAGACACGGGTCACAGCACACACGGGTCATGCACCCCAGACACGGGTCACAGCAGACACGGGTCATACACAGCAGACACGGGTCATACACAGCAGACACGGGTCACACAGAGTAGACACGGGTCACACACAGCAGACACGGGTCACACACAGCAGACACGGGTCACACACTACTGGCACGAGTCTCACACACAGCAGACAGCCGCCCGACACTGACCTGTTTGGGTTTCTCCTGCTGGCCGGGCTTGTGGTCGGTCTTGACCTTTCCGTCGGGGAAGTTTTTCACCAGTGTGATGGGCTGTTTGAATATGGAGGCCGTCTGGCGGATGGGCGGCACCAGCAGCGCGTCGCTGCGGATCCCACGGCTGGCCGCAGTCAGCACCGGACACCGTCAGTGGGGAGCCAGGGAGCGAGGGAAAGGGGGGAAGGAGGAAAACAGAATGAAGATGGAGCCAGAGTGATAAAGGGTCTGTTCCTTTGGCTCCTCAGAAAAAAGATGAGAGGAGCTTTGAGGAGGTTGGAGGAGGCCGTATTTCGTCCCGATTTTGGTGACCACTGGAACGCAGTTCGGAGGAGGTATCAGCTGTTTGTGGAAAGAAAATGTTTGCAATCCTGGCGCATTTCACTCAAGCTCATGTCTGACATAATAGACCAAAAATAAAATATGTAATAAAATTCGTTCAAATATCGGCTAAGTTGCCTAATTTCATCTGATAATTACGCTTACCGATAACTAGGCAGCACGGTGTACCTGTTTTGTATTTGCCGCGCCATTTGTGTCGTCCATAGCCTCCTCCGAAAAACCACCTTTCATTTTGGAGCAGGTTAGAGGAGGTTTGAGGCGAGTTTCAGAGGAGCTTTGAGGAGGTTAGAGGAGCCAATGGAACAGGCCCACAGACTACAAAGGCGCAGGCACACAAGTCGAACAGACAATGCGATATCGTTCATGGGGTCGTGGAAAAGGAATCCAGGCCGTGTAAGGCTTACGCAAAACTGCTTTTGTATTTCATGAATTACTTTTGGGTTAGTTTCTCGAACTTTTTTTTTTAACAAAACAGGAACTGAAAAAACAGCCTGTGTGATATTTCATGGTCCGTGGCAGTCGACAATGACTATAAGCACTATATAGTAGTCTGTTAACCCGCGCGGGCTGGGGGGATAAATTTTACCCACCCTCGCGAATTTTTGCAACAACTCAAAAACGGCGAGCGCCGCCAAACTTTCAGTACCTTTTCTTACATCAATTTGACAAGTTCCCAGAAAATTTGAACGAAATCCGTCGGAAATTTTTTGAGATATTGACGTTTTAGTGACGTCATGTTCGCCGTTTTCGCCTCTAAAACGGCAAAATTTCAAATGCCGCTAACATCTTCATTTTTAAAGGAATCAAGACGTAACAAAAAAGGTTATACGTAATTCTACTTTGTCTATCAAATGGATATCTCGGGTTTTTGAAAATTTTGGATTTTGGCCCAATTTTTTTTTAAACTGACTTTTTAGGGAAAATAATTATAAAATCCAAAATTTTGCGTGTATCGAAAAAACCGGAATATATGTCAGAGATATGGTGTATGTGCACCTACATACCAATTTTTAGAAGAATCGGTTCAAAAATGTGGGAGTTATTAGAAATTTCATGACGTCACGACACACAAAAATTTTGAAAAATGATTTTTTTGGAAGTTCTAGATCTCGTACGGAAACAAAAATAGCACCATTCGATTCGCCGTGAAAAACTGCATCAGATCTAAGACACCTTTTTAGGCCTTAACAACCAAGTTCAAAATTTGACCTCACTTGACCTGACCTTGACCTGACCTCGACCTGAAATTCATCCAGATGTGGTCAATATCACCTATTGAGTGTGCCTATTGAATTCTATGAATAAAATGACCCATAAAACATGTGTCGCACATGCCCTTTTCTATATTTTGTTTTTGGTGACCTGACCTGACCTGACCTGACCTTGACCTTGACCTCCGAATGATATTTTATGCAGCGAATATTGTCTTGATAGCCTAAGAACACGTTTTGGGCAATCAGTCTCAGTCCATTCTTCGGCAACTACGGTGCAAGGCCGATACTGTAGAAACTTGCAATTTGTACCCTTGACCTGACCTTGACCTTGACCTCAAGGCTCAAACTTTAAATTAAGTACATGTTTTTAGTTGTTCGTGATGAGATCTTTCGATTGGCGTTTGAATTTTCCAAATCGGACCATTAGTTCGGGAGATAACAGGGGGGGGGGGGAGTAAAATTTACCCACCCCCAGCCCCGCGCGTTCGGCTGGAGACCCCAGCCCCGCGCGGGTTAAGTGATACACCAGCGTTGTCAGCGAACAGTTAGCAAATTAATGCTTCTAGATGCTTCAAATAGCCAATAAAATAAAATATCTACGCCATGAAGGCTGCACTCACCCGTAATCAACCTGAGCAGTCTTCTTCATCCTGAGGTCCTTCTTCGCACTGCTCATTTTGCCCGTTTGAAAATCAAAGTAGGTGAGGTCGACTGCGTTCCCCAGCGCGCGGGCTAGCTCCGGCTTTGAGCGATACTTCTTCCCCGACGGACTGTCGAAAGGTGACGGCGACAGCACGGTTACCAGGGCAACGCATCGACACCGGGAATACCTCTCACCAGCAAACCAGCCCGGTACCGCGGTACCTACACTTCATTTTAGACAATCAACTGCAATGTGCTATCAGCACATCTTCCCCAGCCAATAACAATATCCAGCAAACCAATGCTGCAGCATCTGCACTCTCAGACCTGATGCCAGCGCATCGGGCATTGGCAGGTCGGTGCCTACCTGTAACTTCCTGTACACCCCTTCCTGGCAGACTATCTCGTGTCTGACAATATCTAGGATCTTATCCAAAGGCGACTGGACACGTGGCACACTTAATATAAATGACTCACAAGCCAGAGGTAGAAGCCAGAGGTAGAAGTTTAAGCTTTGAAAATGTGAACAAAAGGATGACAACTCAGTACACATAACCTGTAACAGAATAGCTTTGTAACAGCTTTGAAATTTCACATTCTGGTTTTACAAAACTTTTTATTTATAAATTTAGGGCGAATGTTGGAATGGGTGAATTGAGAGAGCCGGAGCCCACGCTAAGCGGAGCTTGTTGCGTAAACCCTGATCCCTATCTGTCCGATCGCGCAATTCCAGGTGACGGGAGAATTTGGATGTCAAAGTTTAACGTGTCCTTCAAAGCCGGACAGGGCCTGTCCCACTCAACTGACTTCAAACTGGTTGCGACTGCTCCCATTAACCGCAGACCATCCCCGTCAGGAGTCTCAAATTTTGAGCGCCAGAGAGACTCCAAGCCGGGCTCTCAATACCGGGAGTTCAACGCTCTACCAACTAAGCTACGGGACAGGCGAACTTATCTATTTTTTATTATAAATTTAGTCCGTACCTTTTGATTGGAGGGATTCACAAGGACAGAGCCCCCGCTAAGCAAGGCTTGTTGCGTTGACCCTGCTCTCTACCCTCCGATCGCGCAATTCCGGTTATATGGCAGAATTTAACGTGCGCACATAGCCGCGCACGGCCGGCCCCCTCACTGACTTCGTCTGGCTACGGCCTGCCACCAACCGCAACCATACCTGTCAGGCGGCCCATAAACGTCAAGCACCCATTGCGCTTCGAACCCGGACTGTTGTAACCGGGAACGCATGCTCTCACCACGCGGAGTCCAATACTCTACCGACTGAGCTTATATTTGTGTGTAAGCCTGAACTTTGGTGTGCACGTCTAGTCAACATTCAACACATACAACATGAACATACCTATAGTACAGCACATCAATTTTTCCTGCTGAGATGCCTGACTTGCGACATAGCTCCTCCCGTTTCCACCCATGTGGCAGGAAGGAGCACTCATATCTCTTGCGTTCCGACATGTCACGGGAACTTGGCAGTTGGCCTGGTGTAACTGGGTAGCTGCAAACAGTCATCGCACAACAGCAGTTAGAGACATGGAGTTAATGAATACCAGACTTACAAACCACTTGCGCTAGGATATCGTAAGCTAAGTGGGTAGGTAACCAACATACTTGCCAGCATACCATAACCATCCCTGCTCATGCTGCTACTTAGCACCCTATCTACTAGTCTGCCTCAAGGAAGATAAAACACTTTGAATTTTGAAAATAGTTGGATGTCATTACCTTAGCAGCTTGATTGAGAAGGATCTGCACTTCCCCTTCATGCATGGTGTGCCAGTCAGTTTTTACACTGAAGAGTGAGTGAAGGGTGCAAAAGGTAGTTTTAGCCACTTAAGATATAATTACTCTTTCATCTTGACATACCTCAACCTACTTCAGAAAAACATAATACAGGGCTCAGTGTCATATTACTTCAACTTGGAGTTGGTTGGTTAGTTTGAGTTAAGCAGTAAGCACACTGCACACATCCAGTGGACTAAGATGCTAACCAGAACTCTTACGCTGCTCCAAGCGGTCAGGCAGCGGTAATGCCACGTGCATTGCCCGGGTATCGAACCAGGATGAGGATGGCTGAATCTAAGAAAAGTAACTTACCCTTAGACCTGAATGCTCCCTGAAAAACTTGGAGTTGGGTATGGATGGTTCCTACTTGCACTAGTAGCAGTATGAGTAGAGCCAGTACGTAGGTACCTACCTACCTATTACCCCTTGCTATTATAGCCTTGGTCTACGAAACCAACCCAAGCAAGGCCATTTCAATTTAAGAACCCAAGTCCCTATATACCCACCAACCCCAACCAGGTGATGTACCTACTTCAGCCCTTTGCCTTCAGCCTTACTAATTCAGTCCCACGCACAAGGGGGAAAAGCTCAAATTATTGAGCGCTCAAAATATTGAGCGTGTGACGTCAGAGGCTCCCATAGGCGTAATGCTGAGGGCTCAAAAAATTGAGCCGTTTCAGGGACACGTTTTGCAAAAGCAACTCGCAACACCTAGGGAGAAATGGCAACACCCTAGGAGAATCACTAATAATGCAAAACAGATTAGGCTTTCATATTTTTCACTGCTCAAGCTTCAATGATTGGGGGAACACCAATTTCTAGGTCGAAATCTTACGGCATACCAGGATGCCTTAAAAACAGGCCAATATTTATGTCGAAATAAAAGTTATTTTTTGTCCATTCACGTTTTTTACTAGGGTTCTGTTGGAAAGAGCATTTTTCATACTACCCAAAATGATTGCCACTCAATTTCACATCACCCATATCGGAGAATATTTTTCATTTGGCGGCGCCGTTTGTTTATTTCGTCGCGACGTCTGCGGTCGCGTGGTTGTCGTCGTCCTTGTGTTGAAGGTAAGTTTTTATCGTTTTAGTTATATTTAGATGTTAAAAGGTACACTGAAAAGTTTGAATATGCTGTGATTTTAAATTTGGAAACACGTAAACATCAATCAATTCACGTTTTCCTCGATTTGCGTGCAGATAAGTAACTGTCGACGAAAGTGGCGCCATCCGATATGATGTTTTGAGAGGGAAAGAGACACAACATATTTACGTGAAAATTTTTGTTTTTTAGTGGTCTAAGTGCTTCAAAGAGGCTGTGAATGTTTTCTTCACACAATTTTTCATTAGGTATGTTGAAGTAAAAGGTAGTTTCAGTCTTAACTTTCATATAATTGACATTAAAACATATGATAGTCCTCTGCTATCAGTGATTGAGTACCTTGATATTTGGCATTTCTTATTAATTTGAATGTATTCTCTATCCATATGTCCTGATAGTAAGTGACAATACTCTGCCAATATGTTTCCATAGTTTTCACATTCATTTTCCAGTCCTTTACATAACATCACAATTTATAATCAACAAAACTCAACTCCTTCGTTACTTCACAACACTGACAGCATGACAGACTGACAGTCAACTATTGTGTGTGTGAATGCTGAAACAGGATAGCCACTTTGCTGACTGGCTCATTTGAAATAAGATAAAAATGATTCTTTATATCATTTCCATCTGGAGGATCGGAGTCAACGGAAAAGGAAGGCCACTTTCAAGCCTCAAGGTCTAGCTGCCAGACGCCAGTTGGCAGTCACCACCAAATTTATAATAGATTAATTCATTATTACACTTTGAGACCCTTAGGTCACTGGATCGGCATCACATTTTCAGTTTCAATATAGTAAAGGTTTTTATTTGTATGATGTGAAATATTTTCCTGAATCAGAATTTAATTATCCCTAGGTACCTGGTAGAGGTTTCGGATTTAATGCTCATTGTTGGTGTGCAGTCAGGATTTTTTGACAGGTCCAGATAGGGAATGCTGAGCAATTTTATAGTAAAGTGGTCTCCTTATAATCACCACACATTTTATCAAAAGCATTTGTAGAATTCATTCAAGGAAGAATTTTATCAATGTTGCACCCATTTCTTAGACGACCTAGGCTGCATCTTTTTTTAGTTCCTGTTGTATGACATATTTTCCATTTTGTTCCACTGCATAAAGAAAAAAATCGTTTGAGATCACCAAACAGCTTTTCTTTTTCTGGCAGGTCTGCACAACCAAGCGGTCGCTGGCGAGGACGTCGGCCTTCCCTGTGGGTAAGGTCATCTGTTCAGCCTTTGTGGAGATCAGCAAGACGTCACCAAGATGAAGACTTCGCTGGAGCAGAAGCCGCTGACCCGTGTCCGATCGGGCAGGTCATGCTCGACGGCACGAGCCACAACTTGAACGACTCGGTGACATCAACAACATGGTGGAGCAGGTGAATGAGTTTGGCGACGTGTTGTGCGACTGCAAGAAGGGTTGTCTGCGTGTTCTGGCCGGCGGAGCGGCGACGCTGCGCAGTCTGTGCTGGTGGTGAGCAGCTGGCCGTGGTGACCGCGCGCGCCCACATGCGCCGACAACCTGTGCGGCTTCGACGGCCCCGGGACAGCCCGATGCCGCCCACTATGCGACGCCGACCGCGCACTGTCCGCACGGCCACATGGAGGTGTGCCCACGCCTTTTGCCCGCACGCCGCTACCTCGCAGCTGGTCTGCAACTACGCCGTCGCCTCCTGTAGCCCGATAACAAAACGGCTGTCTGATAATGCCGCGTGTTCTTTGTGATGTTCCTACTGTGATGGTTGCTACTGCTGGTCTGAGACTCGATGTTTCCATTCGTCTTTTACATGTTAAGGATTTGATAATGATAAGCTTAGTCCGAGCTTAGGTCGTTTACATCATTTGTTATATGGCATATTTTGGATCAAAGCAGTACGACACTGCCTCCTGCTTTTGTGATGTATGATGGCAAGACGCAGGTTCCGGTCGCAGGTCACCCGGTTCCAATGTGGTCGGGCTGGCATGCGATAATGTGATGTTGTTTTGCTCGTCTCTGTGTTCCACACTTGATGATGTTTGTGAATCTAACCCACATTGTATAGTATTTTTGTTTGTTTGCGGCCGATGGCCTTGTAAGTTGTAACCGTGGCAATACAGTTTTTCCTGTATAATTCTCCAATATTCAAGCGTGGGTGGATATCTTTCTGTAATCACGTATTCCCTTCTCCCAGTACAGTCAGAAAATATCAATACAGTATTCATACGGATTATTCAAGCCCTGTATAATTATTTGTGGTGTGCCGAATCCGAAAGGCGACCGATAAAACTACTAGCGGAAAATGTGACATGATGCCATGGGTTTGTGAAACGTTTAGGTACCACGTAGCATTCAAGTTCCTGCATTTCTGTTTCAACTCAGTTTAACGTATTTCAACGAACATAACGTCAAAAATGGCAGCCAGTACCGGCTTCACCTGTCACGGAGAAGGCCCAATAAATTGAGTGTAGATGCTGGCCGGCACTCAATTTTTTGAGCGCCAGCTGACTGTCGTCTGTCGTGGCGCTCAATTTATTGAGTATCGCGGTCCCGAACGACAAGTGGCGCTCAAAAAGTTGAGCGTCTTTAGGGCATTTTCTTTCCAAAAACACCGATATAAATTATCACGGCGAGTGTTCGAGAAGAAACCTTGTTGCTCTCTCTTGCCATTGATACCTTATTTGGATACGATATTTGCCGTAGTGTGACGCTAGAGGCATTGTAAAATACCATCGTTTCGCCTATTCCTTCATAATGGGGCCCGCTCAATTTTTTGAGCGCTCAATAATTTGAGCTTTTCCCCCTTGTGCGTGGGACTGAATTACTTGTCATGCAAGATAGCTGGACAAAATATAATATACAGACTGTATTTCAATTTAGGGCCTTTTGATGCAAACGAACTATCCTTCCTATGGCTTTGTATCGTTCGCTTCAAAAGGTTCAAAAGAAATACCTACTGATTTTATGGCGCATCTGCGCCATATGCGGCGTTTGAGCATCTCTTAGGTAATGTGACAAATTCATATAAATGGTTTCTTTTCTTCGAAGTTTCACATAAATTTTCGACTTGAATCCTTTTATTATAACGTAAAATGCAAAAATCACATATATGCAAGAAAAAGTGAACTTTCTGATATTTTGATAAAAAATCACTAAAATTTTTATAAATTACCACGTGATATTACAGTATGTCTAATAAGAGTATCTTGCAACCGTCTACATTTATTTGTTTACATATTTATGCAATTGAGCATCTTCAGGGAGCATTTTCGTACCTATAGTGATAGTACCAGTACCTATTGCCAGGGGGGGTTCATCCAAGATTACTTTACTACTCGCCATATACTACGGGTTCATCGCCATAGGGACACACGTACAAGGAAATTGCCAGGGACGTAGCCAAGGGGGGGGGCGGAGGGGGCGCCCGCCCCTCCCTTGGGGTTTTCAGGACTTCAGGAGGCCCCCCGAAAGGATTCAGGCCAACGTGGGCCGAAGGCCCACGTTGGCCTGAATCCTTTCGGCCTGAATCCAACGTGGGCCGAAGGCCCACGTTGGCCAAAATCACGTCGGAGGCGAACGAAATTCACGCGGGAATCTAAAAAATGACGTCAGAACAATCAGGGCCCTCTGACCAGCCTGACAAGTGACAGCTAGGGCCCTTCTCATCTCCTGTGAATAACCACTAGTGTCTGTGTCTGACCGCTAGGGCCCCTCTGACTCCTCAGTAGACAGGAGGCCCTCTGTGGGTAGGAGGCCCTCTGTAGAGAGGAGGCCCCCTTAGAGAGGAGACCCCCTGTAGAGAGGAGGCCCTCTGCAAAAAGGAGGCCCTCTGTAAAAAAGAGGCCCTCTGTAAAAAGGAGGCCCTCTGTAAAAAAGGAGGCCCTCTGTAAAAAAGGAGGCCCTCTGTAGAGAGCAGGCCCTCTGTAAAGAAGAAACCGTCTGAAATCAGAAGGCCCTTTGAAGAGAGGAGGCCCTCTGTAGAGAGGAGATCGTCTGAAGAGAGGAGGCCCTCTGTAGAGGAGGATTCCCTCAGTAGAAAGGAGGTCCTCTGTGGGAAGGAGGCCCTCTGTAGAGTGAAGGCCCTCTGAAGAGAGGAGGCCCTTTGCAGAGATGAGGTCCTCTGTAGTCTGTATAGAGGAGGTCCTGTGTAGAGACGAGACTCTGAAGAGAGGAGGCCCTATAACATAGATAGGAAGCCCTCTGTAGAGAGGAGGTCCCTGTAGAGACTAGAGAGGAGGCCCTCTGTAAAGGAGGCCCTCTGGAGAGAGAGAGAGACACCCTCAGCAGAGAGGAGGCCCTCTGTAGATAAGAGGCAATCTGTAGAGAGGAAGCCCTCTGTAGATAAGAGGCCCTCTGTGGGCAGGAGGCCCCCGGTAGTCAAAGACAGCGTCGTATATTAAGTACATAGAGTGGAGGCCCACTGTGAGCAAATTACCTTCTGGCTTCTGGTCCCTGCTACTCTCTATAGAGA